AAATAGAATTAGATTGACATTGTCAATATATTTCAAAAATAATTTTTACGACGTCTTATAATTAAGGATTACTTTCTTAGTTTTCTATTTAACTTGTTTCTAAAGTTTATTATTTTTCATTTTTAAGAATAATAATAATAATAATAATAATAATAATAATAATAATAATAATAATAATAATAATAATAATAATAATAATAATAATAATAATAATAATAATAATAATTACAATAACAACAATAACAACAACAATAATAACAATTCTTGATGGGATCTGATCTGATCTGGTCTGATCTGATTGGATCTGATCAAATCTTATCTGATTAGATCTGATCTGATCTGGACTGATCTGATTTGATTTTAATAAGAATAAGAAAAAATAAGAAAAAATAAGTTGAATGGAACAGGACCTAAGTTAATGTTAGACAATGTGCTATCATAAATATGTATATTTGAAATGGAACTTCTCCCCTAGCTTGAGTGGTAGCAAGCCTACTACCTAGGATTCATGGAGAAGTTCACCAAGATTCGATTCCCAGCCCAGGTGAAATATTAGCTCTTTGTGCGTTATTAGGTTGAGAGTAGTATGAATAGATACTACCTTGTAATAAAAGTTAATAGGATTCATAAAGTATATTTTCAATGTTCTGTGCCCATTATCTTTTAGGTTTTGATAATGACAAAAAGGTGACAAAAGACAAACATCATATTGAACATGAAGGCTAAGATTCAAAACTTCAACAAGTTCATATCCATCCATGAAGAAGGGACTTGAGCATCCTTTGAAGGATTGAGACCAAAGGCGTTGTTTCCTTGCTTGGGTAATTTTTTAGGTCATAGAATGTGTATGAAAGAGTATGGCATCTCTAAGGTTCATTCCCTTATTATCCAACCTTCAAAACCTCTTTGAGATCAGCCTTTGTGTGGAGAAGTTACTCTTCTACTCGAATAACCTTTGATTTATTTGAACAAGTCGTGATTTTTCTCGTGACTGAAAATGCACTGTTTTATTTGAATAAATGCAGTATCTTTAAGCCACAAAAGATCATTGTTTATTCGAATAAGTGAGTATTTATTCGAGAAGTATGGCAGTTTCAACTATCAAACACTTGATGTATTTTCAAACCTTTTGATCCATAACCACTCCCCAACTTCTATAATCTCCAATATCTTGTGTTTTTCTTAGTAAGAACATCAAGAACACAAATCAAAGAACATTTCCTTTGAATATCAAAAGAGATTCTATTGAGTTCTCTTCTAATATTCAAGCAAGGCAAATGTTTTGATTCCTATTTCCTTTCTTGCTTGAGTTTTTCCTCATTGCTTGAGTCTTTGAGAGATTTTGCCATATTCTATAGGATTTCTTTGTATTTGCAGCAATCTACTCCGTGTTGGGAGAATAATTCCACTGTGGTTTGTTTTCTTACTTTTTGTAAGAGATTTGTATCCTTGGTTTTGAGATTACACTAAGTGGTAGAAATCCTAACAGTTTGTGAAATGAAATGTTAGTGGAAGACATCTCGAGTCTTGTAAAATCAAGGCTTCGGCGGTAAGATAAGAGGTTTGTGAAATCAAGTTCAATTCTCGAATTGTATTCGAATTATCAAACTCCATTAAGTTTGACGGGTTGGTATTGAAGTCTCGAACATGTTTGCTTTAGGAACTGGATCACTGGATGTTGGCATTAGGCCGAACCAATATATATCGTGTGTTCATTGCTTTTATCCTTCACTCTATTTTGTTTGTGGTGTGTTGGTTTGGTCGAGAATTTTTTTAAAAACGCTTCCCCATAAAAATTGGTCATTTGGGCAATACCTCTATCCACCCCCTCTAGAGGTGTGCAAGACGTCTTACAGTTAAGTTTGACCCTGTTAATAGTGATTGTAAGTTGTGAAGAACTATGGAGACTGTGAGAGTAATATTCTTCTTTTATATAAATAAATTTTATCAACACAAATTTTTTTCTTCGTGAAATAAGTCACTCCATAGAATTTTTATATTAGAAGGGAGACTAAGAGAGGGTAGATCTTTAGGGTCGTTTTGGTGAGTTTTGAAGATATGAAAAAATTGGAATTCGATAAAAATGATATGAGCTTCAAAATTTGAAATTAAATCATTTATAAAATTTTAATTATTTATAGGTGGGGGTGAGGCAACGAGGTGGTTAATCGGCTGTGGTGGTAGAATTCAGTGGCGGGGTAAAGTCGATAGTTGAGAGATATCAAGTATTTAGAGAACTTTTCATATTTGAAAATCTCAAATTCAATTTCTTTTGTAAGAATTACCAAACACTAAAAAAAATTAGAAACTCAAATAGAGGAATATATGGAAACTCATACGCTCTTAGTCCCCATTTTGATTATAATTTTTTCTCTTTTCTCTTGATGATTTTGTTTATTTACGCTATTTCATAATTGTTTAATAAAATAAAGTATTCTTGCTATCTCTTGTTTTGTAAAATTTTAGATGTAGTTTTTAATATATTCTTTTTATTTTTATTTTTTATTAATGTATCAATTTATAAAGGCTAAACTCCACCATTGGTCCTTCAACTTTATCAATTGTGCACGATTGGTCTTCAAGTTTTAAAAGTCCATAAATAGTCCTTCAACTTTATGAGTTATACACGATTGGTCCTTCAAGTTTTAAAAGTGCATAAATAGTCCTTCAAGTACACGTCAGCCCTCCAGATGAGGTCCTTTTGACAGTAAATGTTAAAAGCTAAATGGAATACTAGCTCCATATAATGTGGAGTAGTCGTACCTAATGGAATTTACTCGTATTATATGAAACTAGTATTTCGTTTAACTTTTAATATTTACGGTCAAAAGGACTTCATTTGGAGGACTGACGTGTACTTGAAGGACTACATATGGACTTTTAAAACTTGAAGGACCAATGGTGCAGAACTCATAAAGTTGAAGGACTATTTATGGACTTTTGAAACTTGAAGAACCAATCGTGCACAACTATAAAGTTGAAGGACCAATGGTGGATTTTAGCCATTTATAAATAAAATGATTTTAATTTGTAATCCAATTGGAGGAGGAAATATCTAGTCATTGTGCTTATTATTGTACTCCACCGGCTCTTCCCGAGCCACATGTTTCTGCTCCACATCTGATAATAGGGCTACCAATTAAGCTGGCATTTCAAAACTCCATCAACTCATATCATCCAACTTTAAAAAGAAAGGAACAATCTCGTGAACATCTCCATTCATTCATTCATCCATATTATACCCATTTGCCACAAACTTGACGTATTACTCCAACATTAATAATATATATATATATATATATATATATATATATAGATTTTGGTTCTGGTGAGAATGCAATCTTAGGAGAGAAATGAAAATGAATCTGGTGCTTTAGATTGTGAGATCTAAGGGTCAAGATTTCATCAAAATTAGATGCACCAAAATGGTGCGAAAATGCATCACGTTGAAATGCATCATAAACCTTCGAAAATGCACTATCTCAAAATCTGAGCGCAGGATGCAATCTGAGCCGCACGATGCATCAGATCCGAAGGCTAGATTTTATTCACATTTCTTTCCACAAGGTGCATTCTCACGGAAACCGGCCCCTATATATATATATATATATATATATATATATATATATATATATATATATAGACACACACACAGAGAATCATGATAGCAAAAGAGGTCATCATTAGTAGGGCTTTTCATAGGTCTAAGACTAGACCGAACCAGACCAAAAACCAAATTGAATAAAATCAAGAATTGAAGATCAGACCTAAATTTATTCAAGTTTGGATTGGATCGGACCGAATCGATCCGAACCTATTGGGCCAAATAAAAGTGCATATTTTTTATTTATTTTGATCAATTAAATATATTTTAAATTTTTTACTTTGAATCATGCTAATAGAAAAAACTGAAAAAATAGGCAACTTAAAAATAGATACACAATATGAACTACTTCTATGTAGAATCATAAAAACTAATATGAAATATTTTTTAAAATTTATCTAAAAAATTATTTAATAAAAAAACTTTTTAATTAAATAAATTAAATTATCTATTAAAATAAAGCATCAAAGTATTTAAAAAGTAGAGTTTAGTGTTTAGATCTTTTAACTCCAAAAAAGTTATTAGGTCTATTCAATCTAATCGATGTGGATCTAAATCATTTTGAGTTTGGACAGAATCAGACTGCAACTCAAAGACTTAAATTTTCAAAGACCAAAGACTAACTTGAAGTCCATTCAATCTGGTTCAGTTTAATTGGGCCTAATGGTTCGGTTCGGTCATTTTTTCGGTCCGGAACTAAACGCAATCAGCCCTAATCCTTAAAAATTTTATTCAAAAAGTTATCTTTCCGTTCACATGTTTCCTATTCAAGAAGTAAAAAATAATTTATTTTGTTAGCCTATTTTTGTTATCCATTTACTAAAATAACATAACCATGACATATCTAAATTTATAAATCTTTTGATATAGTTTTTAAATACTCCCTCCATCCTCAATTTGATTACAAATTGCGGATTACCAAGTAAAATTTTATACTTTTTGAAATCATTTTATTTACAAATTGGTATATCAATAAGATATAAAAATTACATATTAAAAAACTACGTCAAAAGTTGTACAAAACAAGAAGTGTCAAGAATATTTTATTTTATCAAATACTTAATGAAATTAAGTAAACAAACAAAAGTTATTGAGAGGAGAGAAAAAAAATTGTTATCTATTTAGAGACGGAGGAAGTATATAACTTTTTAAAAAATTTCTCTTCATTTTTTATATTAAATAATTTTTTAAATAAAACTTCAATGTAGACTGTAGAGAGAGATGGTAATAGGGAGCCAAACATTTATATTTCTCCTCTAGAAAACATCCCTAATTTGGTTTTCACTTCCACAATAAGGCAAAAATCTACAAAAACAAAACAAAAAAAGACAACCTTTCTCTAGCTTTTTTTTTTTTCTTTTGGTGGTTCACTGTTTTTTTTTTTAAATTAAGGAGTAATATTAAAAACTCCTAAACTAAGATTAGATTCATCTGGTTGTTCTGCAGCTGCTACTTGTTCTAGTACTGTTTTATTTGTTGTAGCTTAGTTATTTAGACTTCTCTGGGATCAACAAAAATGGAGAGACTAGGCTGAGACTTGGTCCAATCCCCTACTGCCCCGTCACTATAGTCCTCCCCCAGCCGTTTTATGCACCACAAGTCATCGGCGCACGATAGCCTCTTCCAGTGCGGGATCCCTAACGTGAGCGGGTCGCCGTTCGCCACCTCCGTCGCCACAACTCCGCACCCGCTCTCCTTCGCCATGTTGTGGGCGAAGCCGCACAGCGCCTTCGTGTACTTCGCCCTCCGCCGCCCCTCCCCGCCCAGCCCGTACAGGAAATGCAGCCCGAACGGCTTGAACACCTCCGGGATGGACGGCAGCCGGAGCCACGGGAACGCCCGGTCCAGGAGGCGCGTCGCCTTCGCCAGCCCCAGCAGCTTCCTCGACGCGCCCCGGACCTCCAGCTTGAACAGATCCATCGAGTTCCACACGCTCAGCACCGCCCACGACTCCGGCGGGTCCGCCAGGAACGCCTCCGCGCCCGGCCAGGTCCCGGCGGCGTAACTCCCCCTCGGCACCGCCAGAAACGTCCCCAGACTGAGCCTGTTCCGCAGAACGGAGTCGATGTCGCGCGGGAAGAACTCGGTGGTGGAGAATTTCCGGCGGTAAAGCACCTCGGCGTCGGCGTGGCCCAGCTCAAGAATGGTGACCCGGTCGGAGATCCGAACCCGGTGGGCAAAAACGGGTTGAACCAAAATAGAAGGCCTTCGAAAGAGGGAATACCCGCATTTCTGAGTGAACAGATTAATGGAAGCTTTATTGTCATTTTCAGTCGCCATGTACGAATACTCTGCGCCATTCTCCCTGAACCAATTCTCCATCTTCTTCACCAGTTCAAACCCAATCCCCATTCTCCTGTAATTCCAAGAAACAGAGCATATATATGAGCGATTTACATTCAAATAAACTCCTGCAAATAACCCTTTACTGTAAATCAGGCAATAAATTAATTACCTGTGAGAAGGAGAAACGCGAAGGCCTAAGAGGTAAGCGACTTTGGCATAAACAGGGAGAGGATTATTGTTGTTGTTGTTTTTGCTGTTTCTAGACATCTTCTTCCCGCAGGTAACCGTCTTGATGCAACCTCGTATCATGCCAACGATTTCCCTTGTCTCTCCGCCGCCCTTCCGGACCGCCACCACCTCTGCAACCTGGCCGGAAGAAACGAAAAACCGTCACGAGAAGAAACGGGGGGAAGGAAACTGAAACGGATTAAGGATTCAGAGCAGAGAAATATTAATTAATTAACACTCACGAGCATTCGATAAGCAGGGGAGTTTCGAACTCTGCAGATTGGGTCACCCAAGAGGTCGGTGAAGATGGAGAGTTTCCCGGCGGCGCCGCCGGCCTCGCACGCTCGCTCCGCCTCCTCCACCGCCTTGGAATCCTTCTTGGCGTCGAAATCTCGCACCTCAACTCTCACCATCATCTTAATTTAATTTTTATTTTTGATGATAAAGATGGGTTGATTGATACGAACAGAGCAAAGTTATAGTAGTAGAGTGATGAGAAGTGCAGAGTGCGGAGTTCCATTTATATATAGACTTATATACCACAAAAAGAAATTAAGAAGAAGAAGAGGTCCGGTTTTCAAGGGGAACCCCGGAAAATAAACGTGAACCTGAAGAAAGTAAGGCCAAAAAAAAACCAAGAAAATCTTATCGAAAAATGAAAATTTTTCAAACCCATTTTGTCAAAAAAAAATCCAATCAATTAAAATTTCAAATTTATATTTTTTGGATTAACTCTTCAATATATACTGGATTTAAAAATTATCTTCTCGTCGCGTGTTATAACATTTGACTATAATTATTTTCAAATAGTTTTATATTTGAAAATAGAGATTACATTCAAATAAGCAAAAAAACAGGTTAAAATAAATAAAATTAGACTTAATAAATAATAACAAAAATATAATTTCTGTACAGGAAGAGTAATTATTTTAATTTAAAAAAACGGAGGTACTTGACGGCAGTTACACAAAACCGTACGATCTTAAGGATGATTATGTCAATTCGGATCGGATTAGCACTCCATTCCAAATCAATCTTTTATTTTTTTTTCTTGTAAAGGATCTGATAATCAAATCTTTTCGAGTAGAGTATTTATTTTAAATCAATAGATTGGGGAAATTTGGATTTAATCTGGAGAATATATATGTAAACAGAGGAGTCATCATTTCAATAAAGAACCCAAGAGCTCTCCGTGTCTGTCTGTTACTTTGAATTTGAATTTTTATTTATTTTTATTTTCTTTTTAATTTCATTCTGTCTCTTCAGCTTTTTCTTTTGGTTGGTAGCATTAAATTAGGGAAGGGCATATAATTAATAATTCAGGAGTCGTAGATTAATTAATGAATTAATTAGCGTTCAAAAAAAATTGATTAATAAATGTAAACGGGTAAGAAGAGAGGAAATGGCGGCTGTGGCTGCGGGGTTAGGGTTACGGCGTTGCCATCATGAGTCTATCTGTAATGATCACCGCTCCTTGAGGGCACGGCGTCACCTTGTACGGTCGTTTTATTGTCCTTTTTTTTTTAATTCTCTACCTTCATAATTTATTGTTCTCTTCCAAAAAAAGTACTCATTCCATCTCAAAAATAGATTCCTTATTTCTTTTTTCCAAAGTTCCAAAATATAAAAATCTTTCTTTTTATGGGAAACTTTGGGTGATTAAAAGTCTTTCTCTTCTTTGCAACATTTTTAATCATATATTTTTATTTTTTTTAAAATTTTGTGTCAAGTCAAACTGGAAGCTTTTTTTAGAACGAATGGAGTATAAAATGTCATCTCTTTTAAATTAGCTTAATTTATAAATTTATACAGCAATAAAAGTTTAAATTATATGTTTAAAAATTATATCGAAAATTCTAGATTACACGTTCGTTTTAAAAATAATACTCCCTCCGTCCCCCATAAATCTTCTCAATAGCCCTTTTTCTTTGTCCACAATAGATCTTCTCATTTCATTTTTAAACAATTAAAATACTATAACTACCCTCACTTACTTTATTTATTACACCTCACCCACCTCATTTAATACACTCCACCCATATTTCATTAAGGGTATTATGGTAAACTTTCACCTTTTTTCAACTCTCCTTAAAAACCACCAAAAGTCAAAATGAGAATATCTTAGGAGGACGGAGGGAGTAATATAGTTTTATTCTAGACCGAGTATAAAATTTCTATTTTTATTCTAGTATTTTTATCACAATATATCTATTCATGAAAAAATAGAATAAAAAAGTAATACTCAATTAACCCTTACCATAAATATATATTTTTATTTAGAAAAGTATTTTTGGAAAAAAGGAGATGGTATTTCCATGCGGTTTCATGTGTTCATCCAATGTCTTCCTAGCCCCAATAAGGAGTACATAATGCTCATGGTCATGAGCCCATGACATGCCTTCCTTCATCCTCAAATCACATCATGTCATATCCCACCGTGCCACGTATGATATCCCACCATGTCTTGTTTTATACGGAGTACTCCGTAATCACTTTTTCCCATCCAAAACAATTTTTTACTTATCTTTTTAGTAAATTCTCAAAATGGTCTTTTGTAATAAGATATTTTCTTAATTCCGTCTTCAATTAGTTTTAATTACTTACATGGTCCTCTATAATTGAGATCTATTCCCAAGATAGTCCTTCGTAAATAATGTTACTCAAATGATGATTAATTGAGAGATATTTTTTTATTTTGATCATCTAAATTTAAATTATATTTTCGAAACAATAATTTCTGTACAACTAAATGTAAAAATTTAAAAAATACATTGACTATAAATAATTCATGAATTATTTAAAACTTAGAAAAAATCTTTTAAATTTCAAATTAAATATACATCTTGAATTAGAAAAATCATTTTGGAAAAACACTTCATTATAAATGATCATTTTGAGAATTAATTCTAAATTTAGCGGATAAAAAATACCCAAATACCCTTAATTACTCCTCATTTGAGTAACATTATTTACGAAGGACCATTTTAGAAATAAATCTCAATTATAGATGACCACATAGGAACTTAAAAGTTATTGAAAACTGATTTGAGAAAACACCTTATTACGAAGGACTATCTTTAGAATTTACTCTATCTTTTTTGTTTATTTAGAAAAAAATTAACTAACGTTGTTCATTATACTTTTATCTTCTTAATAAATTTCAATCGCAAAGTTCATTTTTTCTCAATTTACATAAAAACTAAATCGAGAAATTTACACTAAATTGAGAAATTTACACTAATGGAGAGCTGAGGTGAGGATATGCGCGGTGCTATTTAGAATAATAATAGAGATAATTCGAAACAAAATTGTTTTATCAATGTTTTCGATCAGGCATCATCGACGGTCTACATCATTGGTGGTTGATTGCCACAGATCATCATATCACTGTGACACTGTCCCTTATCCCTCTTTTTCTCTTCAAAATATTATGAGTGTGCCTAACAATCCTCGTCTCTTATTCTCTCTCTAAAAATAATGAGCGTGCCTAACAGCCGTCTTCCTTTACTTATCTTTCCCTAAAAAGAAAGTGATTGAGAACTAGAAAGACACATTTTTTATGTTTTTTAGAGTATGAGAGCATGAAAAGCACAGAAAGGCCCATAAGGGAAAAAATAAATTCTTTATCCTTGCTCCAATCTTCAAAACTCTTCCTGAAAAAAAATCAACAAACATACTCTCAAGCTCATCAAACATGCAATGTAGATCTTTCTCTGTACTTCTTGTTTGTATCTTCAACAAACTGCTTCCGTCGGCTCCATTTTAGTACCTATGCTCCAAGCTGTTCTTCGTTGTTGATAATCAGCTTGCGAGAGAATATTAAGAATAATAGGGATAATATGAAACAAAATATTTTTATTATTATTTACTTTCCATATTCTATTGTTACTTGAATTCCTACTTTGATGAAGATTCTTCATGTATTCTTTATATGTATTGATGTAACACTCATTATTTCATAAGATCAATTACTATTGATGGGTATATTGGTCCAAGGTGTAGTTATTAATATAATTAGCCCACTATACTTATCTTGATTAATCAATTCGGAATCAAGACCCAGACCCAAAAAATAAACTTATAGTCGAGTGATGGACAAAAACTATCTAGGCCAAAAATATACTTGATTAGCCCAATATACTTATCTTGATTCATGCTGGCATATGGGCGGCCCACCAAGGGGGTCTAGTGGTATCCTGGAGGGCCATCGTCCAAGGTTATATATATATATATATATATATATATATATATATATATATATATATATATATACATGGGATTGACTCCAGTCAGATGACACTTTCGGTCAGATGACAACGTATGGCTCATTCTGAATCAACGTAGCGCTCATTCTTAAACAATGTAGCATTCATTCTCACACAACTGTTCATCACAATGTAGTGTTCATTCCAAGCCAGCGAGACGACAACATAGGGTTCATTTTGAATCCACGTAGTGTTCATTCTAAGACATGGTAAGGTTGATTTTCACACATTTGTTTATTATAAACGTAGTACTCATTCTGAAAACAACCTAGTACTCATTCACAATCTGCACAGTGTAGTGTTCATTATGAAATAAGGTGGTGCTCATTCTCAAACAACGTGGTGCTCATTCTGAAGCATGTCATCTGACCGAAAGATGTCATCTGACTCGAGTCAATCCCTATATATATATATATATATATATATATATATATATATATATATATATATATATATATATATATATTGGTTCAGATGAGAATGCGATCTTATGAAAGAAATAAGAATGAATCTGGTGCTTTAGATTGTGAGATCTAAGAGTTAGGATTGCATCAAAATTAGGTGCACCAAAATGGTTTGAAAATGCATCATGTCGAAATGCACCAAAATCCCTTGAAAATGCACCATCTCAAAATCTAAGCGCAGGATGCAATCTGAGCCGCACGATGCATCAGATCCAAAGGCTAGATTTTATTCTTATTTCTTTCACCAAGGTGCATTCTCATGTGAACCGGCCCTTATATATATGTGTGTGTGTGTGTGTGTGTGTGTGTGTGGTTCCCCCCTGTAGAGATGGTCACAGGGTTGATTGGCGAACCACACCACCCGGGTTCGATTCTCAGAAGGGGCAACTTTGGGGGAATTTTAAGGAAGTTAAGTGTGCTGGCCATGAAGTAGCAAAAATGATGGGTGATCCCCTGGGAAGTGTTTGCAGATTTATGAGGTTGGGCTTTAGATTGGACTATTTATAGTGGGCTATCTACCTCGGGTGTTTAACGGGCCCCAGGGCGGTCACAAGGTTAACAGGCCTCGGGCCCCCTGCTTGTAATCGACCGTTTCAATAATATTAATAATAAAAAAATTTTAATATATATATATATATATGCTACATTGAGAAGATTTTTTTCAAGATTAAGCATGTCTATAGCAAAGCCTATTGATACTCCAAGTGCTGCAAACATTCATCTATCATCTGGTTATGTTCCGAAATCTAAAGCAGAGCTGGAGTACATGTCTCGAGTTCCGTACTCTAATGCAGTTGGGAGTTTGATGTATGATATGGTATGTACTAGACCAGACACAGAACATGCTGTTAGTGTCGTTAGCAGCTTCACGGGACAACCCAAAAAAGAATACTAGCAAGCTGTGAAGAGTATTTTTTGCTTCCTGAGAGGTATGTGTGATGTTGGTCTTATTTATGGAGGTAGTACTCACTGTGACTGGTTATTCACATTTTGATTATGCTGGAGATGTCGACAATAGAAGATCTATGTCTGGTTATTTTTTCATCTAGGTGTTTGTGTTGTTAGTTCGAAGGAAACTTTGCAGACTGCAGTTACTCTGTCTATCTACAACTGTAGCAAAGCACGTGGCGTTGACAGAAGCTGCTAATGAGAGAATCAGGTTGAAAGGGCTAGTTGGTGATCTTGGTCTATATCAAGAGCAATCTGTTGTGTCCTATGATAGTTTAAGCGCTATCTGTTTAGCCAAGGATCTGGTCCACCATGAGAGGACGAAACATATTGATGGGAGGTATCATTTTCTGAGATACAAAAAGAGAATCAATGTGAAGAAAGTGGGCATAGCTGATAATCATGGGTGGCCCGGAGGGTGTGCAAAGTGGCCAACCGCAAAGGGCACCTAAAATTTTAGGGCCCTATATTTTTAAATATCTTAATAATTTTAAAGGAAAAGTATTCTAAAAGAATAAAATAGGGACCAAATGTACATTTAGGACCAGGCCAATTTTATTTTTTCAATTTTCGGGGCCGGCCCTGTGATAATCATGCTGATATGTTCACCAAGACGGTCCTGCATAGTAAGTTTTGATATTGATAGAATTTGAGATGGGTATGGACAACTGGATTGGGCAATAAGACACTTGGGTTGAACCACATTAAAAGATTGAATCCAATCGATTACTTAGTTCAACTCTAGAGCTTATATACCGATTATTTTACTCTTGGATTTCCGATGTGGGATGTACTCTAACAGTTTGGACTTGCTTAACATCATGAGCAATTAGTTGCCCGAGGAGGGAAAATCCGAGGCAAGAATGGAGAAGTCGGTTCGTCTGACATTGTAATGATGCGTGTACAAGGATATTTCAAGTCAAGGTGGAGATTTGTTAGTATGCTATGTTGTTGCATTAGGTCTTAGTTGTTATATTGGGTCAAGCGAGTCTTGTGTGCCTCTTTATACAGAAGTAGGGCACAAACCTCTGTGATTTAGAACCGCCATCATAATACAATCTCATCTCCGTTCTTGCATGTGGACGTAGCCAACACAAGCGTTGGTGAACCACGTTAAATCTAGGTCTCTTTACGTTTCTGTTCGTTTTCAATAACTAAATTACTCTATTTCGTTTTAACAGTCATATTATCATACTCTGTCAAATTCAGGCCTTGATCCTTGTATTTGCCGATTAACAATAATAAATTACTGTTGTCAATCGGCAAACAGGAGGGGGCCATGAGGAGGTAGTAACTATCAAAATAGGTGTCAAAATAATGGAGCGCTTAAAAAATTGGCAATTTTACTTAATTACTTTTTTCTTTAAAAAGTATTCAAGCAGTTTTTTTTATTTTCAAAAATGAAAAAAAGGGTAATCCTATAAATAGCCTCTTATATAAAAAGTGATTTTCACATATATTTAATTAGTCTCCAATTATAAGATACAACATTCGTGGTCCGTAATTTTTTAAACTATTCCATAATTAGTACTTTAGGCCAAGTATGACCAAATATTTTTCCCATATATTGTCCCAAAAGATCAGACTGATTATGAAATATTACCTTCATCATAATGTATGTGTCACTTTGTCTTTAACTTGGTGGGTAAATAGTTGTTCAAAAATCTAAGATTGGTTTAAAGGGCAAAACAGTTATATAATTAAAATCTCATTTTCAATATACATACCTAGCAGGTCAAATTGAGAGGTCTACTATACGTACATGAGCAAAGACTTAACATGGCTTATGTTGTTTCCTCAAAAACAAAAAAACATGGCATTTGTTGTCAAAGCCTGACCAACAAACTCTCACCGGCCTGCCGGTCATTTGTGTTTTGCCGTCGTCTATATATGGAATCCTTTTTCCTTTCGGTCCCTTTAGTTTTCAACCTTTTACAGTAATTATTTTTCCGTTATAAAATCTTTTGTTTCCAAACATCAAACTCAAAATTTTAGCAGTAACTATAACAGTATCCACGTTCCTACTTAGACTTTAGTCTCTAGACGACGTTTGAGTCTGTAAATAAAATTTAGACTTCTCCAGATGTGAACAAATGGTCTAAGCCTAATTTCTCATATTGGTCACATAGGCTGGTACGAATCGCTGGAATTCTGGAAACTTTCTCGTTCTTTGGGAAGTAAAAGCATTAATTCAAGTTTGTAAATTTAAATATTTATGGCGGATTAGACTTACAATTAATTGAATATTCACTAGTTATGCCCACCAAGTGTTTGAGAAATTGTCTACAAGTAGACCCTCACTTATGTAAATTTTTTTCTCTTAAAATGGAGAAAAAGAGCCCATGTGAAAATATGGTGTATGCATGGTTTTATTTTTATGCATTTCTTTAAAAATAAACTGCTTATGCTTTGTTTTCAATTTGTCATTTCTTGTACCTAATTTGTCAAAACTTTCTTGTTCATAATATTCAAATCTCTCTATATATGTTGACTCTTGTTGCTTGCTTTGCATTGACCTCTAGAGGACTATGTTGGTTTAAAATTTATGCTAATTTCTCACACACATACACGTCATCACCATCTTATGTCTTCACTATAATTTGTTTGACGCTTAAATTTAAAATTTTTTTGTGGTTTTATTGAGAATGTGTTTTCCGGTTATTCCACCCCTGTGAATGGTATTCTGTTTTTTTGAAAAGCTGTAAATCAGTAGAAAACCCAATTCTGGGTATGTAGTTCAACTCTCTGCAACGCATCTGCGATGACCTAATTGATCCGTCGTAGATATAAAATATCATAGCTTTAAAAAATCTTGTCGTAGTTTTCGTCGTAGATCTGCGACGGAAGAGGTGGTCCGTCGCAGTTGTCGTAGATTCGGCAGATTCTTATAGTGCTAGTGGTCATCAAAGTGAACCCACTTCTTCGAAATCTACGATCTGCGCGCCACTGCTACCGGGATCACTTATATTAAATTATTAATTAGAATAATCTCTATTACAAGTAGTTATTCCAAGTACTAAAATAAATACCATAGGGCTATATCTCCAATTGAAGGAGGACCCTAGATGTGGATCCTAGCTAAGTCATACCACAATTGTCAAGGAAACGGATTAATCAAAAAGCTCAAACTTGTGATTGCAAATCCGTGATAGATTTTATACTCTAAAAACTCCCAGCTCGCGTACTAGTGACAGTGAGGTTGTGCACTGTGTCACTCCGGCGATCGACATGAACTTAATTACAGGGTTCATTGGTGTTAATTACAAGTATAATAATACAGCTAGCTACATGAGAGATCAGCTGAGTTAATTAATTAATTAGCAAAAGTCTCATTAGTCATTATTCATTGACCCACCCTTAATGTGTACTATATGTACCTCGCCCGCCATGCACCTCTCATTTTTCACGGTTTAGGCAAACATAATTTCTTCCTTATGTCTCCTCTCTTTGGTTAATATATACGGAGTATATTTGATCTGTTACGTCCAACGCCTGCGCTACTGTTTTTGACGACCCACAAACTTTACTAAAATCGTTAGGTTCTGTGAACATGATTTAAGGGAAAGAAAATTTGCTTGCATCTTTATAGCAATATGTAATTACTCGGGCCAGTTGGCGCTGTGTATATAGTCAAATCTCATGCTCCCTCCTTCACATTGATTAGATTCCATATTCAAATTATTTTTCCCTTTGTTTGTTATTAGATTATTTAATACTTACTCCGTCCCCAATTTGATTACAAATTGGGATTTACGAGGAGAAGCATCTCACTTTTTGAAATTATTTTATTTACAAATCAATATATATCTATAACAAATAAAAATTACATATTAAAAAACTACGTTAAAAGTCTTACAAAACAAGATGTGACAAGAATATTTTATTTTACAAAATATTTAATGAAATTGCGTAAACAAACAAAAGTTATCGAGAGGAGAGAAAAAAAAATTGTAATCAAATAAGGGACGGAGGGAGTAAATTATTTACTCCGTATTAGTTACTCCCTCCGTTTGCAAAAAGACTTCCCATTTTGATTAGGGGCAAAATTAAGGAAGTGTTAAATTATACTTGATTTCCAATTTTGCCCCTGATGTGATGGGTAAAAGTAAGATTTGATGGATAGATTATTAAAGAAAAAAGTATGATGTGATAGATAGGGTATGAAAAAGTAAGAGAAAAAGTCGTTTTTCAATAGAAAGTGGAAGTATTTTGTTGGAAGTGGAAAAAATGAAAGGGGAAGTGTTTTTGAGAACGGAGGAAGTATGTTATGATTATGCTAGGAATTAGGGTACGGTATGCTTAGATTTAGGGTTTCGACTCCTCTTATATATAGAGATTTATGTGTTTCAGAATATTCAATCAAGAAATTATATCAAAAGTTCTCATTCTTTTCTCTCTCTTGGAAGTCCAGAAACGCTTGAATCTTTCCATCTTTCTCTTCTTCTTCTTCTTGAGAGTCTGAAGATGCCAGAAGTTCTTTCCTATCCAATACGATATTCGTATGATTGTTCTAAAGAGTAGAGATTTATGAAAATCGAGCGCAA